GCGGCGTTGGCTCGGCTGGTACGTCGGCGGCAGTTTCTTCTCGAAGTCGTCATGCGAAAGTTATGGCATACTGTAGCCGGTCGGGCGTCCGTGCCGTGTCCAAGTCAGGGGGGAAAATTTTTCTTCGATCAGTACCGAGTTAGTCGTATTTAGAAAGTGTGTTGGTCGTTGGTCAGTTTTCAGTCGGTTCCTTCAGTCGGTCGTCATTTGCCAGTCATATTTACTAGAGCGGCATTCGCTGCCGTTCGACAGGTGGACGACGAGTAGCTTACAGTAACCTATGCATCCGTGCAATAGAAGCGACGCGTTCTTTCGCTGAACGTGATCGTCATGGTGTGACGCTGTCGTTTCAGTATCACAAATTGCCGGCCTTGCCAGCCTGTGTTCGTCGTACGTTCCATCGGTCGCATCATCTGTCTAGTGGTCACGCTCACCGCGTTGACGATCATGTTTTGCGCCTAGCGCTGCACACTCCATTAGTCCGGGCGGGCGCCACATTTTCGAAAGCCGACTACTCGACTACGGCAGGAGTACGACGCCTCATGACAAAAAGAGTTGAACAGAGAAAAGAGAATTCACTTACATAGATCATCATTGAATAGTAGCGCTGTTTCAAGTTGTTCAGCACGCTAGCTTCATTCAGAAAGGTCAGGTTTGCCATATCTTCAGTCTTTTCGAATTTTGGAGGGTTCATTTCCTGCACCAACTCCTTCTTCAGCGTTACCTTTAAAAGCTGTTTCATTAGTGAACATGTTACGCAAAAGGATCTTTCACTCGACCTCATTTCCTTTGGCGTTAACGACGGTCACTAAATCGCCTTTGGTGCTTTTTATTTCGGCCGCGATGAAGCCCTCGGCAGCGTCCGGAATCCAACAGTTCTTCTTGCTGTCATAAGGCTTCGCTTGGTCCTGAGCGGCCAATTCGGGACTTTGCCGCAGGAACTCCCATCCGGGGTCCTGCGCCATTTCGCTGAGTTCGGTCATGATCTTCTCTCTGTTCTGTGGCGCTGGTGTACCAAGTCAGAGAGGTGTGGTGCGCTGGTCAGATGTAAACGAGTAGGATAGACGTGGAGAAGAACGATGAAGAAGCGAGACGAGTGTGAATCCACTTCCCAGCAACAACCGACAGCAACGCAGTGAGACTGTGCTGCAGAGGCGTCACTCTAATACTTCTTGGTTGGCGAGCACAGCGCTGTTCTTTCTATTTTTAATCCTGGCCAACTCGCTAGTATTTACGCCACTCGGCGAGAAATGAGCCTTGGTGAAAAATAGCACTGCCAATCGCTGCGACTACTGCTGTTGTTGCGACAGCAGCCGGTGCTGATTCCCAATTCGCTGCTGCATCCTATCCTCTCTTCCTCATCGTCATATCTCGCAGCACACCTTACGCCTCGCAGCCAGCTGCAGCTGCAGCTGGAATTCTGCGGCCGGCTACGGCCGCTACGGCGGCTGACGCCGAGGCGCCGAGGCGCCGAGGCGCCGAGGCGCAGAGGCACAGAGGCACAGCTGTCGTGGCGCTGATCACCCCGGTGTGAACTCATCGGCGTAGCCTCATCATCGTGCGCTTCGCTGCTGCTATAACCGGCGCCGGCGATTCCAGCTACTCCTCGTTGTTGTCCAGCGAAAGGAGAAAGTGCCGCGCTCGTGGTGCATGTTTATCTGTGCACATCTGTGCTTCAAGCTTCAACTTTTGTCAGTCCGTTTCTGACAATGGCACGTTTGTGAGCCAGCTCATTCCTCATGGCAGCTACTAGTAGCGAAAGAAAACGGCGCATAACTGAAATAGTTTTCTT